GACCTGTCTTCATGCTCCTGAAACACACCTGATGATTTACTGACATCGCCTCGTTCCACTGTTCCCTCGGCTACGTGCTTCTTGGGGATGTAAGGAGATCCTTTGTTGGTAAGGGCGCAGTTCTCAAATATCAAGCATCTTGACAGGACCTCTCCCTCGTATCCCGTTTCAACATCTGTCTCTAAACTCAAAACCTCAGCAAGCTCCTCGTCCACCACTCCATCCAGCGTCTTCAGCTCGGGGTGAGTGTGCTTCAGGAGCCTTTTCAGCTCGCATTTCGCCCGCTGTTGGTGTAGCTTTTCTTTAGAGAGTTGCAATGACATGGACTGTGTTAACTTGGCCCCAGAGACGTCTTCTGGTCCTTGCTGGTGTCTCGCTGAAGGAAGCGAAGGGATGTCATCTTTGCTTTGTTCGGAGTCCTCGGACATCTTAGAAGAACAGAGTAAAGGTCTCATCATTGAGTCCTTTGTAACAGATACGAGCCATCCAGTAAACAAAATGGTGCTCCAGGGAGTGCTGACATGCATTCAATGGTACCTCACTCATGCCAGTTGATATGCTTTCCACATGCCAGGTGTCAGTGGGTTAGCCGAACTCCAGAGCAACCAGCAAATGCAACCACATGATTAATACAATAATGTTGAGTTTATGGCATCCAATATTTATTTTTAAGGGAATATTCATATCTCGGGAAAAGCTTTAATGTGTTTTTGCAACAATGAAAATCCATTGCACACCATTATGCAAAATGTCCGGTCAAATTCCAGCTTACCTTGGTTCGCTGGACTCTTTTCCCAGACTGAGATGACTTATCTTGGTCCTGGAAGGAAACAGTAATAAGTTCAAGTCAGGTAACCTTTACATAAGATTTGTTTACAGATCAGCAATCATTATATGACATATTTTAGCGTGACACCGTTTAGTGTGTTATATGACACCTGTAAAAGATAACAAACTGCAGTGTGTACAGACAGATCTGCTGAGGGAGGTGCGCTCTCTGCAAGTTAAGTTAATGGGTTGTCATGAAACAAAAACATATTTTCTGGAACCTATAATTAAAAAATGTTAAGATGTGATTTCTCCTTTGCATGCTTCTTAATGCTCTTAAACATTAAGCTTAAGCTCAAAGACAAGTGAAAAGACAAGGAGTAGGCGGATGTTTACCGGTTTTGAAAGGCTGCGTGTTGAATCCTGAGGTACCACCTTCGACAGGTAGAGGGCGGACATGGCTTTGACCGAGACACACTTGCTTTGGATTACAGAGCTGTCTCTGAAATCTGCAATGGACCTCCTCTTTTCATCTGCAGAGACATCAGATCAACCTTTAATTATCATTACGATTTCTTGTCTTGCCATTGCACATGTAGTAGTATTTCAATCAGCCAGAGTATATATGAAATAGGGAATATCTTGTTTTTCCACAATCAAAGGTTCAATAAGTATTTGCGTTATACAGATGTGCCGTCAAAATCTTTATGTGGTATTTAGGTTAAAGATTAAAGGAGTTGTACATTTGTCTCACTTTGTTTACTGGTTAATTTTAGCTTTTTAGGAGGCAGCTGTGTCAAAGTATTTCCAGAGAGAGGGTCACAACATCATGTGACTTTTTCTGACATTGAAACAGAAGTTACTCATTTTAAAAACACGTACAGATGACACACATCCATGTCAGCTAACTATGTGTTATTGATAGTAGTTTTTAAAGGTGACTAGTTATAACATTTAAAGCTGATATTGAACAGCTGCCATGTGTTGGAGCTATAAATGTCCCACTGGTGGTGGAGAAGGACAGATACCTGACTCCACTGACACAAATACTGAGGGTTACACAGACAGGCGAGTCACTACAGCTACACATGACTCAGCATTAAATAGTCAAAGTGAAAAATTGTGTCGACGTTAAGATCGTAAATCCATAAATAGCTATCAATCAGGAACACATGAATAAAGCAGAATTAAATTTGAATAAAGACAACATTTAGGTCAACTTCTAGCAATATTAAAGTCTAAACACCTTTTATGTTTTACGATTTTAATATATATATAAATACGTTTTTTAAGGGTTTTAAAAGGAGTATGCTTATTTCAAGAGCCTCTAAAAGGACATATTACATGCTAGTGGGATTATTTCTACTCATCAAACACAGAGATTCTTCCATAGTCTTTAACATAGATGTCATTTACAGTGGAGAAATGAACCTGCAACTTTTTGAAATTGTACTTCTTAAAGCCTCAAACAAAAATGTTCAGAAAAACGATAAATTAAATGTTGATGTCCGAAGCAAAAAATGCCCATACTTCCAAGAAATGTGCACTGATCAGCAACTTAACACATTCTTGATATAGCTTCTTCCTGTAAATCTCTGACATCAATCCAACACACATTGATGCACTTTGTTTCCACATTTAATCTCAAATCAAATCCGTACTCACAGAAAACGAGCAGTCCCTTATGTCCTGCCTGTCGTCTTATTCCCTTTCAGTCTTTGTGAATCTGTGAGGTCTGATTTCCTCTCGCTGTGTGTCTTCTAACTCTCAGTGTCTCCCTCTCTCCTCCCAGTAACAGCTGACCCTTCACCCTCCATCACTTATTCATGACTTGCTGTCTATTTCTGTCCTGTAGTGAAGTGGTCTGCTGTGCCCACACCAGGTTGAGTCAATCACTGCTTCCTGCACTTCTCTCCCTCTCAGTTTCACCTTCCTTTCATTCACACAGCCTCGACCTGAGTCACGGGCCTCGAAGGGCGAAGGCGGCTTTCCAGGGAATCTTTCAGTTGCATAGATCAAGTCTGAAATGTGACTTGCATCACAGCCATACTTGTCAACCCTCCCGATTTTCGCGGGAGACTCCCGATTTCATTGCCCTCTCCCGGTTTCCTCCCGGGGTCATATTTCTCCCGCATTTCTCCCGATTTCTGACAAAATCAGATTTACACACGACTGTTTCCACTCGGACTTTAATACAGCTACACCATTGTTTGGTTTCCATGGTAACACATCTCTTTAGTAGTGCGCGCAACTCAAAGTCTGAGAGGGTGAGGCAGATATTCACAGAAAACAGAACAAGAATCGACAACTACTCTACTCTCTGCTCACTCCTTTCCTGCCCACACATTATGCTCCATCAAGGACGGTGCTACAGGCCGCAAGGCAGTGCACTTACAACTACAATAAGCATGTTAATGTTAATCTAACAGCTCCGGCGATCCACTAGGACCCCCCGCCCCCCCTTTTGCATTTTGAAATGCTCCCGATTTCTGAGGTCTAAAGGTTGGCAAGTATGGCCGGTACTGAAGCCGGAGGCTGGGTCAAGCAACGTCTCTAATGTCGCGACATAACTCCACCTGGCCTAAACTACGATCAACTGGTAAAAATAGCGGCAGAGTCTTGTGAAAATTCGAGGACCCAGTTCGCCAAAATGGCGATCTCGAGAGAGCACCTATATATGTCCCCGGCTTCTATGCACCTCGCGGTGACATTCTGAGAACGAACTCAGGAGAGAAAAAGGGGTCGGTGAACCGGAGGTCGTGTAGACATGTGGTGTGGCTAGCGGGAGAGTGGGGTTCTGTCATGGGGAGAAGAAAATAAACAACAGTTCAAACACTTGGTAGGAGCAGCACGTGAATCGAGGTGACCACCGTTTGACAGGGAGTAGTTCAAAAGGTAGTTTTGCATAGACCGCTTTTGTTCGTCAACCCGTCGTCAACTGTATAGACACCTAGCAGATTGAGTTCGTATAAAGGGGAGAAGTTGAGGCAGTTAGTCGACTGTGAACTTAGGACCGTACAGGCACTACCCGCGGCCTATGGGACCCCCCCCCCCAGCAGTCTTCGCCGTGAGCGAAGGGTCGGAAGGGCACGGACAAAATAGGGGTAGTAACGGGTGAGTATTCGGGTATCGTGTCCAAGTTACTCCCAAAAAGGGCTCACACACACGAAAACCGGACACGTTATTTTATCACGGGCGGGAGTATCGTACGGAAAACTCGGAACGAATCGCGCCTAACAACCGACCAATGGCCCAATATTGAAAAATAAAAACGGAACGTTACAGGAGACCGAGGCCCGACCTTTGGTCGACCGACAATCATCGTCTGCTTCCCACGCAAGCACAAATTTAGAGACTCGAAAATCGCCCGCGCGGATTCGAGAGTACCGTTCTCGTGTCACGTGTGATGTGAAACCCTACAAGCAAGCGAGTACTGGATCTCTTCCGTACACTTAGCGATGACGCTACATAAACGAGAGAGCTGTGACGCTATGAACCCTACTTGCCGACCAGCTGACGAAATACCTGGCGGTATGCCAACAGCAGAGAGGAGGAGAGGCGCGTTCTTCAGCTGGC